AAAAATAAGAAAGAAAGAAAAGAAAAGAAAGAAAGAAAGAAAGAAAGAAAGAAAGGAAGAAAGCACCCTTCTCTCTGGTTCAATAACTCCAACCTCAATCTCTCTGCCTCTAGGGTTGCCTCAGTGTTCACCGCCTTCTTCCTCCTCTGAGCCCCACTCTTACCTAAATGCCCTTCTGTTACTTGGTCCCTCTGTATGTGGCAGAAGTGTGGCTGACAGTGGGGTCAGCTGTGTGAGCTCTAGCCTTGTACTGTGTTCATTTATCCATCCAGTGGTCTTGTTTTTCCAGCCCCCACCTGCTTCCCCAGGCTGTTGGAAAGATGCTGCAGGTTCATTTTCCACCTCTTCAAGCAGCATGGGAGCAACATTGACCTACCCCTGTGTCAGGTCTGGAAGAAAAGTAGGATAAGCTCTCCTCACTGTAGTCTCAGGCCTCAAGATTCACTGCAGCGTGGAGCATGAGGGTGGCTCAGAACGTTAGGGAGTCTGGATCCTGCATGACTCGGGGAATGGTCAGGCCCTTTTAGTTCTGGCCTTAAATTTTCTTCAGCCAGATTTCTCTTGCAGCTGGAGTTTTGTGTTTTCAACTCTCGGAGTGACAGCCATAGCTTTTGTGACTGGAGCTCTGGGCTTCTGGGCACCCAAGTTTTTGTTTGAAGCTCGAGTGGTCCACGGCCTACAGCTTCCCTGCTTCCAGGATCAGTGCGGCAGCCAGGACAGGTGAGGAGGGGCTGGAGGGCACTGGCTTGGTTCATGGCTCTTGCTGGGGCAGTTCCTAGGAGGCTGCAAACCCAGGCTTAGTCTTTCCAGGCAGTCTGTGAAGATGGCTGATCTTTGGACCCGTGGGCAGGTCAGGGTTCCAGCTCTGACTGAGCCTGACATTGTATGTGTACAGACATCTCTGTTGGCTCTTGTGGGTGTTGGAATCTCTGTCTTCCTACTCTCACGGCTATTGTGGGGGTTTTGAAGGCACCAGAGGGGGAAGGATGTGAGGCTTCTGTGCGGCTTCAAGGAATGTTAGGAATTGTAGGTGATCACCCTTTGTCCTTCAAAGGGGCCCCAAGTGTCTTTTGTGAGGTCACCCCATTTTACGGATTGCAAATTAAGGCACTGGGAAGATCCTTCATGTGTTTGGCTTAGGGATGTCAAGGATGTGTTCATTTCTTCTTTGTCCCATCAGTGCATCTAGACACCCAGGAGGTCTTACTTCATGTCTTGCCTTGCCAGCCCTCTGGCTCTGCTGGGCTCCTCTACTGTCCTTACCACCTCTCACCATATTCTCCAAAGACTCCAGTGACCCCCTGATGGGAGTCAAGAACATCTCCTAGGCCTATATCCCTTGTCTTCCCTTCTCTTTGATGCCCCTAATTCCTTGCCCCCACCCCTGGTGACATGCTCTCTCTCCTGTATCCTTTTTCATCTTCGATCTTGCCCTGCTGATTTCTTGGACTTTTAAATTAAGTTGCTAAATTTAATTATAGGGGTGTTTTGCCATTATGGATGTATGTATATATGCACCACATCATGCAGTGCCTGAGGGGACCAGAAGAGAGCATTAGATCCCCAGAACCAGAGTTACAGATGGTTGTGAGCTGCCATGTGGGTGCTGGGAATCAAATCTGGTCCTCTGCGAGTGTAGCAGGTGCTCTTCGTGTCACTCTTAACCACTGAGCATCTCTTCAGCCCCTCCTTGAACTTCTAAAGCCCCACCCTCCCCTCTGCTTGGTTCTTTGCTGGTCACAACAATACCTGCTTCCTCTTCTTCAGCCTCCTGTTTTGCTTCAGTTTTCCCTGATGTCCAGAGGGAGCTTGTGTGATTTCCAGAATGTCTGTGCTTTTGCCCCAGTGTGATCTCTGCCCATAGTTTCCTTCTCTTTTCTCGTCATTATTTATTGAACTTATTTAGTTTGCAGTTCTGGGGACTGAACCCAAGGTCTTGCACATTCTAAGCAAGTGTTCTTTGGGGTGAGTGCTAGGCAAATGCTCTCCTGAAGGGCCACACACCCAGCCTCTCCCTGGCGGATTTTAGTGAAGGGTGATATCAATGAGCCACACCTGCAGCTCTAAATGTTTGCTTCAGGCCTGTGCCAACTGTTTTACATAAAGAACACGTAGAGGAAAGTATTTATGCTGGCTCTGAATTGCAAATGAGATGGAAGGTCACACAGATTAAGTGACTTGTCTAAGGTAGTCCGTCTAACACTGCAGTTGTTCTGAAGCCCCAGGTCCTGTTGCCATCGGAGACTGCCTGGTGCTGTCAATAACTTTCAAGTTGCTTCACCAATTGGCAGAGCTTTCTGGCATATAGGAAAAACACATAGAGATGATGGAGTTTGCCTTTGTTCCACTGTGCAGTTGTCCTTTCTGGAGGCAAAGACAGCTTCCTAAACAGACCCCAAAGAGGACTCAATCCCACTTCAGGTATTGATACTTGTTTATAAAAGCAATTGTCTCTGCTCAGCTTCCACTTTCTGGCCCCTTCACACCATTTGGGTGAGAACTGATGGCTACATTTGTTTCTTGTGATTGATAAAATAAATGACCACACACTTCATGGTCTAAAGCCATAGAAATATGGGCTTGTGTTGGAGCTGTGACTCAGGTAGTAGAGTGCTTTCCTAGAGTGCACGAGGCCCTGCATTTGATCCTAGAATTGCACAAGATCAGAACAGTGACACACACCTGTAACCTTAGCACCTGGGAGGAGGAGGAGGCAAGAGGACTCAGAAGTTCAAGGGTGGAGCCTGCAAGATGGCTCAGTGGGTAAAGGCTCTTGCCATCAAGACTGATGACCTGACTTTTAACAGGGCGTTGGTGGCACATGCCTTTAATGCCAGCACTGGGGAGGCAGAAGCAGGAGGATCTCTGTGAGTTCCAGACCAGCCTGGTCTTCAAGAGCTAGTTTCAGGACAGCCTCCAAAGCCACAGAGAAACCCTGCCTTGACCTGCCCCCCACCCCCGCCTCCAAAAAAAAGACTGATGATCTGATTTTCAATCCCTGGAAACCTACATGGTGGGAGGGGAGAACCAACTTCCCTGACCTCCACTTGTATATATGGCACCTAATGCATGCATGCATACATACATACATACATACATACATACATACATACATACATACATACATGCATCATGCATACATCATGCATACTCATGATATATATAAGGTTCAAGGTCATCCTGAGCTACATAGGGAGTACAAGGCTAGCATGGTAGCCTGAACCACATGAGAATCTACCTAAAAAAAAGGAAGAAAGAACAAAGAAAAGAAAAAAAGACATGCCCTGGGCTCCAGCCCCAGTACTAAAAAATAAAATAAAAAGCCCAATTGAAAAACCCAGAAATTAGTTTTGTCATGATTTTGGAGGCTAGCACTCCCAGTGGACTCTGCACGGTCATGTGGAGACTTGGAGCTCTGTGGAGACTTTGCCTCTAGCATCCTTGCCACATCTCTCTAACCTCTGGTTTCAAAGTCACGTGACACAATGCTCGTCTTTCAGGGCTGGAAGTCCGCCGGTGAATACAGAAGTGACTGTGCTCAGGCCTTACCTGACTGAGGGAGGGTGGTCATTCAAGGCAAGATCAAGATCCATGATATCTGCACAGTGTGGTTTTTGCTAGAAGGTTCCAGAGTTTGGGATATCTTGTGAGGCTATGAAAGAGTAGTAGGAAATCCTTGTGTTGGGGCTACTACAATGCCCCAGAATCATGTGACAGAGAGGCAGTATCCTTTTTTTTTTTTTTTAAAGATTTTATTTATTTATTATGTATACCACATTCTGCTTCCATGTATATCTGCACACCAGAAGAGGGCACCAGATCTCATAACGGATGGTTGTGAGCCGCCATGTGGTTGCTGGGAATTGAACTCAGGACCTCTGGAAGAGCAGTCAGTGCTCTTAACCTCTGAGCCATCTCTCCAGCCCTGAAAGGCAGTATCCTTGGTTGCTTTCTATTGCTGTGATAAGCACAATGTCCAAAAGCAACCTAGAAGAAGAAAGTATTTATTTCATCTTCCACTTCCATGTCACAGTCCATCACTGAGGGAGGGCAGGGCAGGAATGAAAGCAAGAACCGGGAGGCAGGAACTGAACCATGGAGGAGTGCTGTTTACTGGCTGACTCTTCATGACTCACTCAGCTTTCCTTTTTATACAGCAGGATCACCTGCTTGAGGTAGTCCAGTTCCTTCCCCTAGCAATCCTTAGTCAAGAAAATGCCAGATCCTGGAGAGACGGTTCATTGTTTTTAAGAAAACATGCTTGCTCTTGCAGAGAATATGGGTTTAGTCCCCAGCACCTACACAATAGCTCACAACTGTCTTTAACTCCAGTCTCAGGGGATCCAGTGCCCTCTTCTGGTCTTCATGGTTACCAGTGCACATACATATACACAGGTGCACATACATACACCTACAGATAAATAAATAAGCCAGGAGTGGTGGTACAAGCCTTTAATTTCAGCACTTGGAAGGCAGATCTGTGTGAGTCTGAGGCCAGCCTGGTCTACACAGTAGTTCTAGGACACCCAGAGCTACGTAGTGAGACCCTGTCTCAAAAAACAAACAAAAAACCAAAAAACCAAAAACAAAAACAAACAAACAATAAATAAATAAATATTTTAATTATAAAGAAGAGCCAGGCATAGTGGTACACACCTTTAATCCTAACACTTGGAAGGCAGAAGTAGATAGATATCTGTGAGTTTGAGGCCAGCCTGGTCTACATAGTGAGTTCTAGAACAGCCAGAGCTACACAGTGAGGCCTTATATTAGAAAGAAAGAAAGAAAGAAAGAAAGAAAGAAAGAAAGAAAGAATGAAAGAAAATTCCCCATAGACTTGAGGCATCTTCTCAATTGAGGTTCCTGGAAGTTGTCCTTTGAACTTGCACATAGGACTCTAGTTTGTGTCAAGTTAACAAAAACAAAAACAAAATAAAAACAAAACATTAAGTAGCACAGGCAGGATGCTTCCTGTGCAGCTGCAGGAGAACTTCCAACCCTGGAGCTGAAAGCCTGGAGGAAGGAGCTGTATGGTAGGTAGTAAAGAGTCCGATCTCTGGGCGTGTGGGAGTGGAGTCTGAACAGTTAGAGGAGAGTGCTGTAGCTCTTCAGGACCCTCTTGGGATCCTGTCTTGGGGGGTGGTGCTCAAAGGGCTGTGCTGTATTTTTGCTGGCACCAGAGCCAATAGGGGAACTGGCTATGGTGCCTACTTGATTAATCAACCCAAGGTTCTCAAAGATCTTGAGAACCCACCACTGCTGGCTCAGAGTGAGACTCAGAGATGAACACCACTTAGTCAGGATCTGACTCGTAGCCAGAGCCTGGCTAGGGAGGTTTGTGAGGACCATTACATGGCTCAGGAACATGCAGGCTTCTGTTTGGTAGCAGAGGGCTGGGAGGCTCTGTGTTAGTCACCCTCAGGTGAGTTCCTGACTGTGTTAGGCACTCTCAGGTGAGTTCCTGACTGCCTTGGCTTCCACATCCCCCGCTGCACAGAGAGGGTCCACTCATTCGTTCTCAGCTTATAGACAGTTCACAGAGGCTGACTGGTGGGGCTCACTGCCCTCAGTGTGCTGATGTCCAGTTTTGCATGGCTGCATTCTTTTCAAAACTAATTTGCTTAAAATAGTTGTTACAAGGGCTGGAGAGATGGCTCAGTGGTTAAGAGCACTGGATGCTACTCCAGATGACCAGAGTTTGAGTCTCAGCATCTACATGGTGGCTCACAATGTCTGTAACTCTAGTACCAGGGGCTCTGATGCCCTTTTTGGCCTCCACTGGCCCAGACATATACCCAGATAAAACACCCATACAATAAAGTAAAAACAAAATGTAAAAACCTGTTACTGTGTGTGTGTGTTCACATGTGTGTAGAGACTAGAGAACAACTTGCTACAGTTATTCCTCTCCTTCCACCATGTGAATCCTGGGAATCAAACTTACATTGCTACACTTGGCAGCAGGTGCCTTTAACTGCTGGGCCATCTTGCCAGCCCACATGTCACATGTGTGTGTGTGTGGGGGGGGGGCTGTGTGTGTATGTGTGTGTGTGTGTGTGCGTGTGCGTGTGTGTATGGAAGCCAGGAGTTAACCTCAGTGTCACATCTCAGGAGCTGCCCACCTTGATTTTTAGGCTGGGCTGGCTGGCCAGAGAGCCTCACTGATCTGCCCATCTCTGCCTTCCCATGCCTGGGATTATAGAAGCATGACATCATCATGTTTGACACTGATGCTGATGCTGGGGATCGAACTCAGGTCTTTGTGCTTGAGTGGCAAAGCTCACAACGGATTGAGCCTTCCCCCTCAACCCCATGGGCCCTGGCCATCTCACATAACTGTAATTTTTGTGTCTGAGAGGGGACATGGCTGAGGTAGACGGGTACACAGGCCCACAGAGCTCCAGAGAACAGCCAGAGCAGGGTGGAGAGGCTGTCCAGAAATCATGAGACTGGCTCAGAGAATTCTGTCATTTGTGCAAAGGGAATGAGGGACTGGGAGAGGAGGCTACACTGGTCAGCAGGGCCAGTCCCATAGGGCTATATGTTGGCCAGGGCTCATAGGGAAGACACCAGAGTGCCACTGAGGGGCTGGAAGAGCCTGGTTAGATTTGGCTGTCAGAGTCCACACTGGTCACTGTGTCAGTGAGGCCTTGAAACTCCTTTAAAAGGAGCTTGAATGGAGCAGTGGGGTGATGGTGTCTGTCTGTGCAGATCCTGGCTCTGTATCCAGCAGCTGTCTGATACTGGCCTTCACCTTTCTTAGTCTTGCATCTGTCCACCTCAGAATTCTGGGAGGAAATCAAAGAGTTTGTTCACTTAACATCAACTGTCCTGGGCTCTGTGCTCCCAGCACAGAGAACAGGAAGGAAGCCAAATCTTGCCATTGCTTTTCAGGAATCCACAAGGTATGGATGGTAGATAGTGCTACAGGGACCAATGGAAATAAAAGCAATCAACGTGGGAACAGGATGGTGCTCCCTGTGAGGGAGTATCTGTGAGAGTCACATGGATTGAGTAGGAATTTGGAAAGTTTAGAATAAAGCAAGGAAGGAAACAAGAAAGCTACCACAGAGTGTTCCAGATGAAAAAAAGAAAGTATGTGGGGTGTACAGGGCCGAGGAAAAGAAGAGTAGAGCTGAGGCTTGGAGTCCACGGAGCTGGGACCAGATCTTTGGGTGTTTGAGAACTGATAGAGGATTTGGGCAGAGTGTGGTTAGGAACATAGTCGATAATGTCTTCAGCACTTTCTGGGCCTGGAGAGGCGGCTCAGTGATTAGAGCATTGACTGCTCTTGCAGAGGACCTAGGATTTGGTTCCTAGCATCCACATGTCAGTTCACAACTACCTGTCGCTCTAGCTTCAGGGGACCCGATACCCCCCTTCTGGCCACAGTTGGTACTGCATGCACGCATAATCAAACAAAAATAAAGTCAAGAGGAAGAGCCGGGTGATGGCGCACGCCTTTAATGCCAGCATTTGGAAGGCAGAGGCAGGCAGATCTCTGTGAGTTAGAGTATGGTGTGGTCTACAAAGCTGCTACATAGAGAAACCCTGTCTCAAAAAGAAAAGAAAAAAAAAAAAAAGAGGAAAAGGAAGAGGAAGCAGCAGCAGCAGCCCTTTCTGAGGGTCCGTGTAGAGAGACAGTCTCTGTCAAAGCCAGATAGGGTTGAAGTGTGTACAGAATGTGTGGAAAGGTATGCTGTTGGAGGCTGCTTGGGGGGTATGCCAAGCCAGGGTGCAGACAGATGGGATTTAAGAGGTGAGTGTGCAGGCTTGATGGCATCTATCTTTGACCCCAGCACTGGAGAGGCAGAGGCAGGTGGATGACTGTGAGTTAGAGGCAAGTCTGGTCTACAAAGTGAGTTCCAGGACAGCCAAGGCATAACAAGAGCCTACCTCAAAAACAAAACAAAACAAAACAAAACAAAAAAACAAACAAAAAACAAAACAAAAAACCAAAAAAATGAAAAAACAAAAACATATACCTCCCCAAACAACAACAACAAAACCCCACAAAAAGCCCCAACACCACCACCAAAACAAAATGAACAACAAAAAAGAGGTGAGTGTCTGCAATGTCCAGGCAAGAGCTATGCACATCATGGGAGTCAGTACATGCCAATCGTCTAAGCTTTGAGGATGGGTGGGGCCTTGGAGTTAAGATTTCTGAGTGTGTCTTTTGGAGTGGTGGGAAAGAGAAGGTCACTGTGGATGTGCATGGGTGGAGGTTCCTACAAGGTGAGGGTCCTCTGCTTTCCAGCTGCAGTTCTGGGCTTGCCTCCTGCTGCGTGGTACCAGATCATGTAACTGGGTCAGGTAGCCTGACCCCGGAGGCAGGGATAGGATGCAGGTCTGACCATGTCCTCTCTGCTCTTTCTTATCAGCCTGATTTTTGGGGCACTGACTGTCGCCACCGGCATTATTGGTGTCATCCTGGGAGCAGAGGCCTCAAGAAGGTACAAGAAGGTGAACCCCAGGGCTGAGCCCCTCATCTGTGCTTCTAGTCTGTTTGCCACAGCTCCCTGCCTCTACCTGGCTCTCATCTTGGCCTCAAGGACCCTCCTGGCCTCCTATGTAAGTGAGGGACCCTCTGGGAGTGGGTGGGGAAGTGAGAAGCCCTTGAGGATACAGGTGCACAGTAAGCTGTGTCTTTGTGTTCACTGTGTTGCTCATCTCTTCCAGACTGGTCTGTAGCTCCAGTTTTCAGTGGGTACACAGTCGCTCACTGAGAGCTGCCCAGCAAAGAGGCAGGACTAGATTTGATTGCAAGTTCTTTTGGCTCTGGACTACTGATTGGTAGTCTGGGGACAGTGTTTATCTGTCCCAGGATGTGTTGTGAACCTGGGGAGGCAGAGGGAGTGCCCCTCAAGTTCCAGATGAGAAAGGTTGGTCATGGCTGGGGGGGACCTTGCTT